TTGATGCAGCAGTTCAAAGGCTTTGTTTCATGTAGCCTGCGTGGCGGCTCTAGGGGAGGGGGGAGGGAGAAAACGGAAGGGAGGGGGTGGGGAGGCGGAGCACGCCACGCAGGCTATGTTTCATGTCTTAAATACATTTTGTATTTTAAAGTTTGTATTTTAGAATTTTAGCACCATTCAGCTTTGGTGGTCTGCCATATGATAAACCATTTAGAACCATTTTAATAGCTCTCTATCTGGGTTTCCTATATTTGTGGTTTACCTGTGGTACTAAGTCAAAACACAGGTATTCCGCGTTTTTTTTCGAAAATCCTAGTTCACTATCAAGGAGTGGGCTGCCTGTGAATGCTCGCACTAAAAATGGTGATATCGTGAGTTGTTGAAAGGAACCGTATTTTTTATAAGATTCAATCATAGTAATTTACTCTGACAGAAAGATGGCGTAGCTCTATCTCTTTTACCCTTACAATGCATATTTCAGAATGTTTAAATGTTCAAATTCAACATCAAAGGATTTGATTGCATGGGTCYTTGTACTACTAGTGCTTTCTCGAGGACTTGAACTTACGTCTTCAGAAAGGACTTGTACAAGTGGATTGGGATACGAATGCAATACCATCGAAGGAAATGGAGTGTCATGTGTGCTGGGATGTAATGTGTCTATCACCCAAATAATTTCTCCCGGTAAGAAACCGCGCTCACATTGCAAATTAAAATAAACAGGGAAACATGATGGTTGACAYTTTGGTGATTTGGGTACGTTCTAATTTTCTTTTGGAAAAAAAATCATGACATAGCAACCAAAGTGTGCACATCGAAAACATCCTTGAATAAAAAAAGTATTGCACTAGAAGAAGGAAAAAAAAACTTATTTTTTTCGAAATTTTGAGAAAACAAGAAAAAAAATCTGCTTCTAAACTAAAAAACACTATAATTAGACTTTGTATACTGGGTTTATTGATGGCTTTCAACCATTCCCATGAGAATGATCAAAACAAAAAGGTCCACCAGTCACGGTGGTGGTTTTCTTTTGTCAGGTCCACCAGCAATGGCGGACATCTTTTGTTTAACTTTCTCTCCTGGGAATGGTTGAAAACCATCAATGGATTTCAATGGAGCTGAATTGCTACACAGTTTGTTACCATAATTATAAGTTTACATCATAAGGAGAAAGATGTCAAAGATATTAAAATGCAAAAGATTTCAATTTGTTATGTTCCTTCTTTGCTGGACCTACCTGCAGCATATTCTAATTCTTCTGCTTGACATAAAGCTGGTAGATACAGAGTGTGGTGTGAAACAACTGTTATTGTAGTATGCTTAATGCTTTTTCTTTTCTCTACAGATAACTGCTCTCAATTGTGCTGCAAAGTCTGCTATTCTGATTGTATCGAGTGCATCTACTCAAGAATTCTARCTTTCTGTATGAGAAATGCTTCTTCGTGGAYGCAGGACAATTTTAACAAAGAATCACATGAATTTAAAGYATTGAAYAAAGATCTTCAAACCTCAATAAAGACCATTGCACCGCTAAATGGGAATTATACTCTGTTCAGAACAGACATTTTAAGTCTGGAATGGTGYTCAAGTAAGAAGAACAGTGTCCAAGTCTATCTCAAGGTAATGATAAACAACCGTGACAAACTTGGGGTCATCATCAACAATATTAGAAATGCAACTTTGGATGGGAAGTTAGATAAATTATCATTGATACAAAATTTCTTTGAAGTGATGGATGAAAGKACATACCATGATATAATGCGGTCAAAAGAGAACAGAAAAGAAGAAAGATTGGATGTTGTAGAACTTGTAGTAACTTGTGTAGCAGCCTTTATTGTTACGCTTTCTATTGCTTGGTGTTTGTTYTATCTGTGTACCACTCCTGCTGAAAGAGAAAGATGTAAATGYTGTGGGTGTTGCAGGAAGAACAGAACAGCTCATGCATAATCAAGACATCCATGATCATGTTGTAAAAAGGATGTTGCCTAAATTTTATTAAYTACCGTAGAATCTTTGAAGTCAATAAATATTTATACTCTTTATTAGGTGTAAACCATTTRCACAACCATACCCRAAAACTGGGGTTGATCAAAATGTTAAATATTTGGCAGTGATACACAGTGRTTTAGTAATTATCTATAGGTACTTTTCCCTTAATATTCTCCATCCAACACTACAACTACATCCGTGCCTTCACCTAATGTAAGAGTAAGCCTGTAGGGAGGCTTACAAAAAAGTCTCCACAAAATTTAAATGATAGTGAAGGAGATGAAATCAGTCATGAAAGCTTTCCAATCTTGTAAAACATTTGTAAATGTAGCTATTGATAACATTTGTATTCACTTACATAGACAGCTATACTATGTCKCTCCAACTAGTTGTCTCTTCATTCTTATAGGAAACTTCACAYTACATATTTTGGAATAAATCTTTATTAATCAGATCCAGCAATAAACAAGCACTTCTATTCACAATCATGGAAACTTTGTATCTATCTAATAGAATGATTTTATAAACCCGCAGAACAACAGTGTAACAGCCAAAGTGTATAGAAGTGTAATAAAACAAAAAAGGCAAAGCAAACACAATGGAGAGTAAAGTGGGATATGCTAAAACACATTCAACRGGTTTATAGAAACCATTCTACCTGTGCTAATGGTCTCTTTTCTCTTAAAAATAATCTTATCTTATAAATAAATCTTTTTGATTCAATAAACAGGACTTTCTTCATAGTAGTTCTGTGGATGCCATGGAATAAAACTGTGATAATTTTCTTTATACAGAATTCTTGACAGATCCAACWGTGACCATAATGGCTCTCATTTCTGTCCTCATACAAACAAATTCTCCAATAATTGCCATTAAGGCAAGGCAGACAATGTTCAAGATCCACCAAGTCCAAGAAAATGGAAAACCAGAATATATTATACAAAATATGAAATGAATTAAAAATGTTGTTGCTGTAAAGTCCAAGCACTGAAAAAAATAAAATAAAATAATTTTAATCAAGTCCTACATGGMAGGATTATGGATAATGCCTATTGCAATGTATTTTACTTACTTGCTTTCCTCTCTTTACAATGAACCAYAATGACATTGCTCTAAACACAAATATAACCATGATTTGATAAATAATATTRTGCGTTCCTTCCCCCAATCTGAAGGAATTTTTTTCTAATACCCAAAACAAGAGTTCCTCACTAATATTGTCCTGAGCGGTATAAAACCACTATAAATTTTAGCATTCACATTAACACATTGTTTTTTATCAAAAGGGGTGCTTAGCCAACAATAGCCACATAAGCCTTGATATTGGCCTTATTCTCGATCCAACAGCAGAAATGTTAGAGCATTATGTATGAGTCAATTCCAAAGGTGCCCATCAACCCCCCTCCCCCCCCCCCCCCGGGCAAACCCTGGGCATTTGACTCGACTCTACCTCCGTACAGTGGGGTATTTGACTCTGATTAGGAGCAGAAGGGCGGGCATTTGACGGGTAGGCAATTGACGGGTAGGCGACCATCTTGGAAATTATCGATTCAGATGCGAAACCGCTATTTCGTGACACAATACGAACTTTTAAGCTTAAGTTAAAAAAAAAAAAAATCTCGGGAACCTAAGCATTTTAATAATAATAATACGTATTATTTATATAGCGCCGATATCCTTACAGTTCAAAGGTGCTTCAC